ATGAATGGATTAATGGATGGGTAGGTGGGTAGGTGGGTGGATGGATGGATGGGTGGATGGATGGATGGGTGGATGGGTGGATGGGTGGATGGGTGGATGGATAGATGGACAGGTGGATGGATGGATGGGTGGATGGATGGATCGATGGGTGGATGGGTGGGTGGGTGAATGTATAGATGAATGGGTGGATGGATGGATGGGTGGATGAATGGATGCATGGATGGGTAGGTGGGTAGGTGGGTGGATGGATGGAAGGATAGAAGGATGGATGGGTAGTTGGTGGATGGGTGGGCGGATGGATGGATGCACACACTGCTGGGTAAATGAAGTAACACACAGGGCGGTTGGATGAGTGGATGGTTATATTGACTGATGAATCAATGTATAGATGGAACTGTTGGTGAATATATAAGTGTGTGTGGGTACATAAATAAAGAGGTAGGTGAATGGATGAGTGGACAGGCCTCTCAGCCACCATAACCTGTACCTAAATCCTCAGAGCATGACCCAGGCACACCAGAACTCACTGGCTGAACCAGAACATTGTTCTTTCCGTAGAGCAGGGTGGCCCTGGAGTTCTGGTGCAAAGATTCTACATAGTCCCGGGCAGAGATGGATGGTCGGTCGTCCATGCTGCCGCTGGAATGCCTCTTCTGGATCTGGTATCAGCACAGGAGAGAGGGGTGGGGGACAGTGAGTGACCGTCAGGACTCCCGCCCTGTTCCCTGCCTGCCCCGAGGCCAAGTCCAGACCCTACCCGAGACCCTCGCACTGCCCACCCATCTCACACAGAGCGCCGGCCGCTTGGTGGGTGAGTCCTGTCTCAGATGCGAGCTGTGGATCCGGTGTCTCTGGACCAGCTCGTCGGCTGAGGGGTCAGTCCAGAAGTGGTCTGCAGTCTTCATCTTGGTATACTCCAGGGCACAAGGCCCCACTGTGGAGCACACAAGGCTGGGAACCTGGAGTCCCGAAAAGTTCCCCCACCCAACTGCCTCAGAACGGGGCCCCTCAGAGCGCTCTGTTTCCATCCAGGTACTGAGGACGCACCAGAGTCCAGCAAGAAGACACCACAGCAGAGACAGGTCCTGGGCCCCAAGAACAAAGGACCAAACGCAGCCCACACCAGACCTCTTACCCAACAAAGATGCCAGGATGGGTCCGTCCACCGGGTCCATCAAGAGAGCTTCCTTCTCGTAGTATTTACTATTGGGAGGAAAGAACATGCAGGTCTGCATGGCGAACACCAGAGGGCGCACGTGGGCGGACTAGGCTCGCCCGGCTGAGAGCCTCAGCTGCAAAAATAACTGTATCTCATAGGCTGAGCAAAGCAATTGATGAAAGGTGCCTGGCCTGGAACTCAGGGGCACCGGCTCGCCACACAGCTGCGAGGACTTTAGGAGAACAAAAGAGTCAGAAGTCAGGGTCTCAAGTGACACTGTCCTGTTACCAAGGCAAGAAAACGCTGTCTAGCCGTGGTGTAGACTCAGAGGTCAAAACAAACGCCAGCCCCAAGTCTCTGAAATCTGGCCTTGATAGATGTGTGACGTCATCAACGCCGTGCTTATGCTAAAAGTCTGGGGATCCGCTTGTTTGCGAGCGATATGGTGGAATGATTCCCCAGTTCCCTGAAATCTTATCTAACACATAAATATCAATATAGAAACGTAAAAGTTAGATCGAGCAGGAGGGAGGGCTCCACAGTCACGTGCCTACTGCTCTCGTAGAGGCCCCTGAGGGTTCGATTCCCAGCACCAACACGGTGGCTTACAATGTTCTGTAACTGTGGTTATCAGGACGGGAACTGGTCAGGAAGTCTCACACTGTAAAACATTGACATCGGATTAATCCGGAAGGGTCTAGCCTCGTTGTGTATTTTCAACAAGCCGTGGCCTGGCAGATTCATCTTTACATCTTCTCTGGAAACCACTCCGTGCTCTTTAGCCGGAGAGATCGCCAAAGCACAGAGAGGGAGACTGTCCTGCGGTCAAATAGCTCTCAAGGAGAGGAAATTGCAGAAGGACGGAATCCAAGGTCCCTCCATCTTGCCCTAAATGTAAAGACCATGTTTCCACATTGCTCTTCAGCACCCGAATCCTCTCCAGCTTTCAAGCGAGCTAGCTCAGAGTCAAACATGCAGACAGCGTTTTGTTTAAACCTTTCAAACCTCAGGAAAGGTTTATTCTCGAGCGTGCGGTTCCCAGAATGACCAGCGGGTGGCGGAGGAGCGCAGACATCGGTCCCTCACCTGCTGTTCTCCACCAGGTAGTGGACGATTTTGTCCAGGACCCTCTCGAACAGGGCGGTGCGGATCCACAGGTGCTTGATGGCCAGCGGGGACAGGTTGGGCAGCTTCGGCAGCTTCCGCACGTTCTCTTGCAGGCCCTGGATCTGGTTTCGCCTTTGAGACCGGCGGGAGGAGAGGATACACTCAGGAGAGAGGGGCTCTTCAGGACCACAACTCAGCTGAGTGTGACTGAGTGTGAAGTAACGGGGCAGGGGTGTGGAGGACGGAGGTGAGAGTGCGCTGGCGCTTACAGAGCTGGGGGCGAGCTGCGCGGTAACAAGGAGGAGCAGAGGGCAGAGCGGGTGCCAAGGCTCTGCTGTGGGAAAGACTGGTGTGTCTGAGTGGCAGAGAGGAAGGGAGAGGGAGAGGGGGAGGGGGAGGAGGAGGGAGGGACAGAGAGGGGGAGGAAGAGGGAGGGGTGGGAGGGGGGAGGGGAAGGAGAGGTGGGGAGAGGGGGGAGAGGGAGAGGCAGGAGGTGTGGCTTTTGCCCGGCTAAGGGGAGCAAGCACTGCCCCTCCAGGCTCGCCCCTCCCTCGACCCCACGCACACTCACGCCCTTCAGGCTCGCCCCAGCCGTGCCCCCACGCATAGTGACACCTTCCCAGGCTCGCCCCAGCCAGCCGCACCCTCATGCACACTCACGCGCTCTCAATGAGTTGCTCTAGCTCCTGGACCTTGCGGCTCAGCTCCTCAGCAGGAGGGAAGCCTTTGCCCACCTTCATGAAGAGCGCCGCGATCTTGTTGCTTCGCAGGAAGCCGGCCGCCCTCCGCCGCAGCCCGTGCAGCACGCAGGCCTCCACGGCCGCTGCGGGGGGGAACACAGTGGTCGGTAGCCATCTTGTCTCTCGTGCACAGTCCCCAGCACCAAGAGTGACAACAGTGCAGAGAGAGCACACCCGTGTGCCGAAGGAGTCAAGAGAGGTTGGCGGCTTACACGCACGCAACATGCGCACGAGGGCCAAGGTCGGCCGTCTGTGTGCATCCTGTCAGCCTGCTGGGTGGCTGCGGGCGATCATCTCCCTCTCTGTCTGCCTTAGCCTCCCTTCGTAAGTGCGTGCACAGTGAGTAGTAACCTATGGGTCACCATAAGCAGCTGTTGTCATTGTCATAATGGCCGTCTCCCTCACCATCACCTCCACCATCACCATCATCTCTGTTGTCACCATCACCCTCACTCTCGTCCTCGCTTCACTCATCTGTCACCATCGTTCAAGTTGACACAACTAGAGTCATCTGACAGGATAAAAGTTCAATGGAGGAAAAGCCTGCATAAGGCCCGGCTTTAAGGAGCCCCGTGGGGCATTTTCTCATTAGTGATTGACTGGGGGGGGGGGGGAAGCCCCGCCTGTCGTGGGTGGGGCAAGCCCATTGTGGGTGGAGCCATCCCTGGGATGGTGGTCCTGGGTTCTATAAGAAAGCAGTCTGAGCAAGCCATGGGGAGCAAGCCAGTAAGTAGCGCCCTTCCATGGGCTTTGCATCAGCTCCTGCCTCCAGGTTCCTGCCCTGTGTGGGTTCCCACACCAATTCCAAGCAGAAATAACCCCCGCATGTTGCTTTTGGTCACCATATTTATCACAGCAGTATAAAGCAGATTAAGACGTGCACTCGACGGGAAGGGGCCGAGGGAGGGTGTGGACGGTGCTCTGCTCTGCGCCCCACCTCAACCCCTCACGCCCCACGTGTAGCCAGCGCCACGGGTGCCCAGTTGTAAGGATGGGAGTGGTGGGCTGGCTAGGTGTCCATGCTCAGGAATCTTCCTGAGACCCGCTCAGGTCCTGAGGGGACCTGCTGTGCGCTTCCGGTGAGACATTCCTCAGGAAGTTCCTGCTTCAAAACAGCGGGCCACGAGCTGGAGGCCACCCGGCCACGAGCATGAGGCCTCCTCCCATGAGCTGGAGGTGACCGCAGGCACAGTCTCTGGTCCTCGTCCAGGCACAGTAGGAACCAGGCTGCTCCTGAGCAGGGTCGGCTTGCAGCGGGACCTGAGTCACTCTTTGGATCCCAAGGCTTCTGTGCTCCTTCTACTAAATGTGAGTCTCAAGATACCTCAGAGTCTGCTTATTCCCCATACCCAGTTATCTGTTACAGGGTCCTCTGTAGCCTAGGCTGGCCAGGAACCAATACATAGCTGAGGATGACCTTAAACTTGTGATCCTCCTGCCTCCACCACTGGAGTGCTAGGGTGACAGGCATGCGCCACCGTGCCTGACTTTACGTGATGCTGTGGATGAGATCATGCGGGTGTTGAGCACTTGAGGCAAGCACTCTACCGCCTGAGCTGCATCCCCAGCCCTCGGAACCCTTTTGCTCCATCCTTTACCCAGCCGGGCAGATGCAGAGGGAGGAGACGGCTCGGGCGGTCCCCTGTGCCTCCGTGGGATGAGTCAAGCCCTCCACGGAACACAAGAGGTAACCCACTCCCTCACAGTTCTGCATTTCCAAATCCAGTTCCTCTTGCAGAGTGCCCTCGAGATCCCAAAATAACTTCAGAGTCACAGAGCCCAGCGTGACGGAAGAGCTGGCTCACAGGTACGCCTCCTCTGCCCCAGCCCAGCCAGGAAGCTGCTCCCCGCCCCCCCCCCGCCCCGCCTCCGTCGCCACTCACCACAGAAGGAGATGATGTGACTGCTGTCTTCATGGACGAACTTTCGGGTAACGGCTTCTTCCATGATCTGTTTCACCTGCAGGGCACACGGGAGTGGGAGAGACTCATTGGATGGGGTGCTGCACCCGGGGTCCATGATTCCCCGGTCAGAGTGTTCTCGGGCCGACTGAGGTGTTCGGATAACCCCTCTTCCTTCCACAGCCTCTTGGTCTGAGGCAGATCTGGGGCCGACGAGCACACACTGCCCATTTCCCTTAATTTGCATGGAGGTCTGTCACCCCTTTCAGGACTCACACAAAATGCCCTGCACAGCATTGCCTGAATTGTTTCCTTCCCTCGTCCGTCAGAGATCCTGCAAAGGACTTGGCACCCATCCAGCTCTGAGCTCTGATTCCTGTGCAACCTGCTTGCATCTCCCCTCCAGAATACAAGTCCCCTTGCCTTGCCCTTTGACTTGTGTGTTTTGTAAAGGTCCTGTGGGCGCATGGTAACTGTGTGAGTCTGAAGATACAGGAATTCAGTGGCAGCATGGAGACAGTCAATTATGGGGTCCAGGAAACCGGGGTTCAAGTCCCCGTGTGATACCCAGCAGGTTTGTGAGTGAGCTTTGGGAAATAGAGGTTTTGGAGAGTCCACCTGCCAGGGGGGCAGGGCAAAGTCACTCAGGGAAAGGACAGCTGGCCTTGTGAACAGTACTTACCTCAGGGGTTGAGATGCCTTCTGGATTCCCTGGCCTTGCATCTCACTATGCCCAGAGGCATTGTGAGATCCAAGCAAAATCTGTCTCTCTGGGCCTCAGTTTCCCTCACCTTGAGACTGAAGTCAAAAGGTGATCCAAAAGCCTGTCCCAGAAATCCATCCCAGGACATCTAACATGGGGCCAGAGTGGCTGCGTCCTGGACCCCCACGCAGAGGGTCACCATTCTGCGTTCTTGCAGCACACCACATGCCTGCCTGACAAGGGTGCCCCTGACCCTGCTGCCCTCCCTGCCTCTTCCTGAAGCTTGCCTCCTGGAGGCGCAGACAGGACAGAGCACTACCTGCACTCTGTCACACAGCACTAAGTGCTCTGAGGTAACATGGCAGCCACAGCCCACCCACCCCGTCAGCACCAGCCCTGTGGACAGCTCCCGGCTGTGTTGCCAGCTACCGCAGCCCAGCTTCAACGAGAACTGTTCTCAACAGGAACCGTCGCTGCAAGGCCTGTGAGATCACCCTGTTTTACACGTGCGACTGTGATTTGAACCCAGGACCTCACACGTGCTAAGTAAGCATTCCACCACTAAGCTACACCTCCAACCAGATCTTGTCTTTGTTTTAGGTTTTTTGAGACAGGGTTTCTCTGTGTAGCCCCGGTTTTCCTGGAACTCACTGTGTAGACTAGGCTGACCTCGAACTCAGAAATCCGCCTGCCTCTGCCTCCCAAGTGCTGGGATTAAAGGCGTGTGCCACCACTGCCCGGCACTAATCAAATCTTGTATTAGCAGCACAGTGAAATGAAACAGGATGTCAGGAGCAGGGGCCACACCCACGAATGTGAAGAAACAAAACCACTTATGGGTCAAAGGAGCTGCAGGAGACAGTAGAAGGCGTCTTTGCAGTGAATGTGAGCAAATGTGAGCAAATGCAATACACTGAGACCTACTACACGTGGGAGAATAGAGCTGAGGGGAGATTACAGTGGAAAAGCATGGTGTCAGAGGAAGGAAGACCTCACATGACGGCTTACATTTACTCCCTGGGAATTAGCAAGTAGGAAAGAGTAAGCCCAGGAAGGAAGGAAAGAATAAAGATATTTATCTGCAGAGGCAAAATGAAGTAATTGGGCCAGCGAGATGGCTGAGTGGGTAAAGGTGCTTGCAGCCAAGCCTGACCGCCTGAGTTCGATTCCGGGACCCACATGGTAGAAGGAGAGAATGGACTTTCACAAGTTGCCCTTTGACCTCTGCATACACACCCGCACACAATAAATAAAGTAAGAAAAAAAAAGTACTTAAGTCAGACATTAAAGCAAGCGGAGCTAGATTTGATGGGTGGGCAGTAGCTTGCTGACTCTCTGTGAGTATGGCTCTAACGGGCTAATGTCCTCTGAGTTCTGACCCAGCCTTCCTGCCCAGGTGGTGTAGCCTGGGATAGCTGAGGGGCTCTGCTAACTGGATGACACCCCCACAGTGTGTTGCTCCATGCCCCTGCAGTGTCTACTCTGTCTTAAGCAGGTAATGCTCCACTGACAATGTCCCTGATCTTCTGAGGCGGCCATCTGCCTGTCCCCGCCAGGGCTGTTCTGACGCAGCAGCCCTGCTGCCTGCCGGTGTGTGGAGACACCAGGTCCCATCTGCTGTGTGTCCCTGAAGGAAGCCATGAGCCTCCTCAGGACATGTGGCAGGTCCCCAGTTTTCTCTCAGGACTTGGTCAGAGCAAAGACCAGCCCTGGTGAATTGTTACCAAACACTGGGTGCCTTCGGCCACACCCAACTCTACTTTCTAGAATATCTCATCTCCTTCTGTTCTCTCTCCTGATATTTCTCTTTCTCCCTAAACTCTCTGGCTGTGACAAGTCACTTCCCCTGGCTGTGTGCTGGGTTGTGTCCCCTCTACCCCAGCCTAGATAGTGTAAAACGCTGCCTCCTACTGAGAATATGATCAGATTTGAAAGAAAACCTTTAAAATTAGATTATAGCGTGGTCCCCTAATCTAGTATAATCAGTGTCTCCAGAGGAGAAGGGAAACAGAAACACAGGACAATCCAGAGAGAAGATGCAAGAGAGAAAATTGCATCTAGAAGCCAAGAGGAGAGGCCTAGACTTCATCCTTCCTTCTCGGCCTCCAGAACTGCAAGACAGCGCATTCCTGCCTTGCATGGCAACCTGTCTGCGGGATTCTGTTACTGCAGCCCAAGCAAATGAAAGCACCCACTATGAACAGCACCAGGATCATGTCCTCTAGTCTCTGTACCTTTGACTGAACCAATGAGCCACTCAGCTACCCAGTGGCCTTTTCTTCCAGGGCCTATTCCTTCCCAGGTGGCCCAGCTCTGACATTTGTGGCATGTGAGATTTGACACCTTTGTTCCCCTTGGGCATCTTTGAAGGGCCTTCCCAGTTACCCTGAAGCATTCACAGAGGGACCACTTCCTTCTGACCGGCTCTGCTCGCGCCCTGTCCTTGGTGCTGAATTAATCTCCATCCGGAACTGCTGAACTGAGCTGCAAGTGTGGGAACAACAGGCAAGGGTCACAGGAAAAAAAAATGGGGACCAGAAGACCCTGAAATCACAGCGACAGCAGGGCATGAGGACTAGCCTCCATCTCTCAGTCCTCTCTTGCATGCACATATAGAAAGTGAAGTGTGGGGATGGGGACAGACAGGTCATCATGGTGGCTTCAGGTCCAAAGATCTGGGCCAGAGAGGTCCAGGAAAGCACAGAGGCTCAGCTCAACTCTTGGACCCCTCCCTCAGCATTCACTTTCCGTGACCCAGGTAAGAAGTGCTCGCCAATCTGGGCAGTTCTCACCTGTGCCCGGACTGCATTGGAATATTAGAAAGGAAGAGAAGACAGTGGAGGGGTGGAAGGTGTTTCCACTTTTTTTTTTTTCAGCGGGAAGAGGGGCAGGGGCTAAGAGAGAAGGCATTGTCCAAGTTCCCTCTGGAAGAAAGGACACCTGTCTGAGGCTTGAGGCTTGTCCCTGCACAGCTGCCCCCTTCTGCCCTCTTCTCCTTCCTCCTCACACATCATCATGAAGGGAGGTGCTGATTCCTGGTTCCTGCTCTTCCCTCATCTGCCTGTCATCCCCTGATCCTCTTTCCTCTTTAGTCAACAGTCTCTTTTAAAACTTGTCTTTCTGCAAGCAGTTTGGGGAAACCATCTGTTTCCTCCTGGTACCCTGACCTGACTGGACACACATGCTGGCTGGCTGTTGATGGAAACTCAGAGAGGTTGAGCCCTTTTCCTGAGGTTACACAGTATGGAGCCTGGGGCTGTCACATGGGGCCGGGGGTGAGGGGTAGCTGAGGAAGTGTAATAGCAAGGGGTGAGTGCAGATGAGACCCTCCCACCTGCGCTGGCCCAGGCCTAGCTGGATGATTTTGCAGGAGTTAATGACCGGCTCACCCTTGAGGCCAGAAAAGGAAATTAGAAAGGCTGGTGAACGGCACCAGGATGGAAGTTTCCCTCCCACAGAAGGTCACCGAAGCCTGTGGAGGAGGGCACCATCTTCAGCAGGAGGCAGGAGGCTGTGTACGGGAGAAGAGCTCTCTGGACAGACCGGGGGCAGAGCATTCTGGGAGGAGGATCGGAGGCCAGAAAAGCCCCCTGACCCTGGCAGACTCCCGGGTATACCCTCGGACTCTGTCAGCTCAGCAAATTCAGGTTAGGGTTGCTGGGAGTGGTGGCCATGGGTTGGCATCCCAATCCTTCAAGCCTGCAGGATTTTCTAAGCTTCCTTCTAGAACACACAGGGTGATGGAGATGCCACCCCAGAGTCAGACGGACCTTTTCTGAGCTTGCTAGTTCCACTCTGCTGGCACTTCGGGGTGGCCTGCTGGGAAGTACGACCTACTACTCCTCATTGCTACCGTGAGGTCATGGATGAAATGGCTGGCAGGGCACCCGCAGCACACAGTAGGCACTTTATTTTTTTGAGGAAAGGTCTCATGTAGCCCAGGCTGGCCTCAAACTTTCCATGTAGCTGAAGATGGCCTTGAACTCATGGTCCTCTCAGCCCCCACCCCCACCCCCAAGTTGTAAGATTACAGGCCTAAATCACCACTCCTGGCGACAGGGCAAGACAGTGCAGAGGGCCCTCCATCTTGTTTTCTCTCTGAGGCCATTTTAGGTTTAATTAGAATTTGATCTCCACGGGAAGACCCATGGAAAATTACCCAACTCTAGTCTAGAACCCGAGGCCAAGATGCCCCAGCTAACTTATCATAGCTTCTGTTAAACTGTCTGCTTGTGAAACCCTCCCCATCCCCCTGCAGCTGCTGAACAAGATACCAGGATATGGTTTCTGCTTCTTAAAAAAACAAAAACAAAAGAACAACCTTAGCCTAAACACTTGATACTACACTTGGGTTT